GGGCGAATATATCATGACCTGATTTAAGTGCTATCAGTGAACCTGTCTTGACTGGTTAAGCAAATCGTGAAGTTCGCTATTGAGGCTACTCTTATGTCCGAGCGATGTTTGAACAGGTCAGCATCCGAGTTAGTTCTGTCACTGCTATACTAATTCCTTGGATATATAGATCGTAAACGTTTTAAGATAATGAATACTTTTAATATTCACCTGTTAAAGACGCACAAAATCGTGGAATCTTGCAGATAAATATTCGTATGTTAACAAGACAGATTTTTTTCTTTTTCCATAAAGTCTGTTATGAGGTGATGTGTTTTTGTTAATCATTATTCCATTTTATTTCAATATAATTTTGGCCTGTTTAAAGCTGAAAGCGTGCATTTTTTCGCTTCCTATTATTTAATCCGAAAGCTGAATAAGGATTCCCTCGCTTGACCATTGTTTCCTTGTAAGAAAGATGTTCTTCCTATTCTGCTTATTAATTGTTTAAGCTCATACGTTCTTCTTGAATTAGATGCATATTTTTTCCATTACAAATAAATATAGGAAAATAAATTCTCTGCAGCTTACACAGTTGCACATTGCTAACACGTCTGACTTCAATATGAATTTATATAACGCTTCATGATCCAGCCTGTAGCACAAATTAATTGGCAATAATCCGCGGATATGCAAAGCTTCCCCTCTTCAAATTAAGCTAGACAGTTGACGAATATGGCAGCGCTAAACAACACGTTCGTCACAGGCTAATCCTTCTGCATATTCTACGAGTACTACGGATATGACTGGAGGCTGGTGTTGACTGTACTGTAATCACGTGGCCGATTTTACGAATTTCTTATGGTGGAGTAGAGTATGTGGATGAATTCTGTGCTAATCTATGGAATATTATGTTGATATGGTAATTAAAGGGATGGATTAAATACAGGTGCGTTAATGAAGCAGATTTAGCATTATACATAGCTTGCAGAACAAAGGATATTAGAACGACATTATCTGTTAATTGTAAAACCAGAGATTTTAAACCAAATGCTTCATGCACATGTTTCTTCTTTGTGCATTGACGTGATGTTTCTCTGCTTCATGCTCATACATGCTTCTAGGAGTATCAGATTATAAGAGGAATTATAATGTATGTCTCATTCATTAAAAGATAAAATAATAAGCATTGTCATGTGTAAGGGGGTATGCGTGACTAAATAACGGGTTCTAGTTCGAATGATTGGATTTATTGGCAGCTTGCTTACACACTCTCTCTTAGTTACACTCAAACTACAGCGCTATCGCTGATTTACATACACTTAATAATCCACTGTTACATGCATAATTGTCCACTTTGCTGATGGATCTCAACATAGAAACTAGCGCTTCAAATCACTCCAAGTATTACTCATAATTTAAGTCTTACAATCATAAGCCAAGTCTTCACACGACGAACTTCCCGTGGCTGTCACTTAAACACACTCAAATATACTCAAATACTCAAAGTACTCCTTCGTCAAGTCAAAGTCACATTGCGATTGAAGGTCAGTCAGTCAGTCAGTCAGTCAGTAAGTCTTGGTTTCGAGCCCCATCTGTGGCTCATGACCAGACATTTATTACTGTTTGACATTTACGGTCTTGATTTTGTGTGGCGTCCTCTCTGACGAGAGGACGTGTCTGTCTCTTGTATATGCTGCTGGCCCTTGCCAGCGCAGTCTTTCTTGGGTCCGAGTCCCTTGAGACTCGTTACCGTATTTTACTGTCTCAGAACTGAGACTTCCCTTTTCGTCGCCTCTTACGACTCGCAGGGTCACTTGGTTATTCTTGGAATCTCGTCATAAAGCCTTCGCACCGACCTCACAGAACATAGTTTCTCTATTGTTGCAAAGTGTTTACGGAGAGATCGCATAGCAACGGTCATGGCACCGACCGCATAGAAAGCCCCGCGCTCCCATTGTTGCCTTGCTTGTATTCGGTCGTGAGGCGTTTAACTGTATCCATCCACGTTTCAGTATCAAGACAACAAACATAAGAATGAAAATAACAAATACAGGTTTGAGAGCAACAAATACAAGAATGAAAGCAAGAAATATGAGAATTAAAAAAAACACATTCAGAAATAAAGTCAACAAATAGAGCAATGAAATCAACAAATTAAAAAAAAATGGAATCAGAATAAGAACAACATTAGTAACAAAGTAATAAAATAACCGGCAACAGTGTGATGGTGCATAGCTGTGTACATGACTAATTTACAATATAATATTTTAGACACTGTCCGATATGGTAGGTTCTTCCAAACATAACTTTTTTTTTTAACATGATCTGTTTCGATCAGTAATCCCTCTGTCTGTTCTGAGATCAGGAATTGACACTCCACCCTAAATCCTGATCACGGAAAGAAGCACAGTTTCCTTGTCGTTGTGTTTAAATAAACCTAAGGATATGGATAATGTTCAGGATTGGCCTTTTAGTCATATTTATTAACACACGCCATTACTTTAAGTTTTGGTTCTCATCGTAGAGCAATGTTATTTTGTCTGTGGGTCCTGAACGATACAAGGCAGCAAATCTATATATTGAAGTCCAAAATCGGCCACCTCTAGTACTTTTCTTGTTCACTATGATCATATTTCTGTGTCATTCGAAGTAAAATAACCTTTGAAATGGAACTAGACTAATTAAATATGTTATACGAGTAAATTCAGTAATGTACCTTAAGAGCTCCAGAGAAAATCGGAGTTGATTCTAATATAACGAGGGCTACTTTAACATCCGTTAAGCAATATATTCACCTTCATTTTTTTTCCTTTGGCGCTACAGCCCTCATTTGGTTCTAGGCCTACCTCCATGAAACTCTCCGTTTCACTTCGGTTTACTAGATCTTACACATACGGTAGGACTCCTTAGGCGAGTGATCAGCTCGTCGCAAGGCCTCTACCTGTAGACAAACACAGAAAAACGCACACAAACATCCATGCCCTGAGTGGGATTCGAACCCACGATCTCAGCTTCCGAGCGAGCGAAGACAGTGCATGCCTTAGACCGCTCGGCTACCGTGACCGGCATATTCACCTTCATAGAAGCATAAAATTAAGTGCATGTATGATGAAGCTTTTGCGTTGAAAACAGAATATTGTGCTTAGAAACCCAGCCACTGATAAATATTAATCTTTCAATAAAAGTAAAAGTAATGCTTGACAGGTGTACAGACTGAGGTTTCTCAGTTCCTTTAGCTTCTTGGGGTGGGGTGACACTGAGTCCAGTTGTTACTTCGGCCACTAACTGCCATATTGTAGGAGCCACGGACGATAGATGATGAGTACGGAGCTGTAGGTGGAATGAAAATTAGTATGGGAAACTACAGTACTCTCAGAAAACCTGCACCAATACCGCTTTGTCCACCACGAAATCCCACATGACCAGAACGGGCTCGAACTAGGGCCGCCGCTGTGGGAAGCCGACAACTAACGGCCTGAGTTATGGAGCGGTCTTCTAGAACTTTCTTCGGTCCTCCAAACGTAAATTCCGTGACTGTCCACTAGGTCATAACAGCTTCCTTCCAAATCCTTTGCAATTCCTTATGCCCCAATCATTCTACTTTTCGCAGTAATATATCTTTGAGACGCTGAAGGTGTCGCAAAACAAGCTACAAGAAAGTAATGTTTAACGTAGGCTACAGCGGAAACGCCGAATTAACATATAAAATTCACGTTCTCATATTCTTCGTGCACGCATAACTTTACCGGCTCGATATTCAGAACTAAGCAGCGGCGAAGACTTCACTTGTTAATCCATGTCGAGTTCGTTTACCTGTTCTCGTCTCTTGTTAAAAATTTACAAGCCTGGCAACCGGGTGTTTCATACTTCGGTCTCCATCACAACTGGGGCCTGAAACTGCTTTCACTGTGTATATAAATATTGTCACGCTTAGAGGTGACTTATAAGAAGGGTTTTGGATTGGAAGATTGGATTTATTGCACCTTATACATTCACACAGTTCGGGACTACAGGCAATACAGCGTTATTGCTATTCTACACACTTTAGAGTTCACCGTTACACACTCACTAGGGTTCTCAGCCTTTACTAGTCGTATCCTGGCAACGGATTTATCATAGTCTCACTGTCGCTTCAAAACACATATGAAGTCTTCTCTTCATACACCGACTCCTTTCTTGCCACTATTCTGCAGCTACCAGTTTCGAAGACTCGACTTAATTCGATTCCTCTGCTCCCAAGCTGATATCCCGGCAGCCTGGCGCCCCAAAACTCGACTCTCCACTTCCGACTACTTTTCTCTACTTCTCAAACGGCTTTCTTTGCCCCTTTATAATCCATCAGCACGGACCCGACAGAAAACACAGCTTGTATTGTTAAGGAGGCGTGTCTACTGGTCTGTTACATAGCAACGGACGTCATATTTTCGCTTGCGCGTGTGTTGCGAGAATATGTTTGCGGAGCCGTTTCCTAGTAATAGGTATACACGTCATAATATGTTCCTTGTATATCAGTATTTAATGCCATTTTAGAAGCTATAAATTCTTGCTTCAAGAAAAGTATCCATCGTCCAAAAATAAGTGCCAATTAAACTCTTCCAATTAGAAGGGAAGTAAAACATAAATAAAAGGTTTGAATAATTAGACCTGTATCGTTTATATCACAGAATTCCTGGGGGAACCCACTGACATTCTGAGTTTCCCTTAAATGAATAATTTATCTTACTAACACACAAGCGGATTCTGTGGATGCTTATATAATTATAAATTTTACATAAATAATTGGTGTCGATAAATACTCTTGCTTTCTCTCTCTCTCTCTCGTTACTTTTCTGTATATCCCATTTCTTTTCCTTTCCCTCTCATTCTCTTCCTAAGCTAAATAGGGTGGCTACATTTCCTCTTCACCAGCAAACAAGTATTTTGTTTTAGTACTCGAACCCACTACCTTCAGGCTACGAGATGTTCAGAAGTGCCCGTGTCTAAATCAAAAGCAGGGTCAATGTTGTTGTTTGTTACAGACACGTCACGGTGGGGGAGAAATCTTAGAGCGCCGGCGTGGAGTAGGGACCATGAGGAATATAGAGTGGCGTGGTTGGCCGAGCGCTCTAGTCGTGATGTTGCACGCGCCTCTGTTCAGAGCTGTATACACATGGAAGACAAGTGCGCTCGCAGACCTCGCCGTTACGGCAACTTGCTCTTCGCGCTGCCCCTGCTCTGCATCTTCGTCTGCCCGGTGGCCACTGACATCACTGGTAAGTCCGAGGAGACAGTTTCCTCTGTCAGCTACCAGTATTTATGAGACAAAACTAAGAGCTCGACATCATAAAGAACATATGCGATGACTGACTTTAGGAACCTTATACGTTTGAAGAATGAATTTCTTGCACATAATATATGGCAATTCAGTTCGTACCTCAGAGGAAACACGTTACTTATCTGCTACAAAGATCAACTTGTTAATGTTAATTGTGAGAACTGTACGAAACACACAAGTACACACAGTGTCAGCAGAATGCATAGGTCTGGTATTTTAGAGCAGACTGTACTTATAGAACCACTGGATTTTGAAGAGCTGAGAGTTCTTAAATTTTTTGTTAATGTCAATACAAGAGCCAGAACAATTCATAAAATATAGGCAAGATATTCTAAATTCGGAAGTATAAGCTTGCGTAGTCAGCTGTGATCCTGAATTTGATATTTCAATACTGCTGAACAGAGAATATTAATGTTTGGTCACCATCTACATGGAGTGAAGCTTGATTATTTCAATACAAGGATAGGTTTGTCCTCACCGGGGTACGAATTCAAAGAGGAGATTAATAATATCTATTATGACAGGTGTAAGAAAATTAAACAGTTTTGAATCTATTGTTTTCTGAAATGTGAGCCCTTCTTGTTTCGGAGGAACATCCTACCTCAGTCTTCAGGATGGATATATTCTATTCTGAAAATAGAGACAGCAGGCTCTTCCAGACTGTTGGTATTTATCTATCCAAATTCTCGGCGTCACATTGCATATGTCGCTGCCTTGAAAGTTTCAATCCCACACTGAAAAGGGTGGCGTTAATATTCTTTTCTCCGACCTGCATAGAAATGTCAAGATTACGGCGGCACTTAGAGTGGCATTGTTGTGCGAAAAGTTTCTTTTCGAAACTGTTCTCGATCTGTAACTTTTCATTTCCGCGCTGCAGTAATCCTAGATTTTAAGAATCGCATCCGATAACAGGACTTAAAATGCTGCTAATTAACGATTATGTTGATAACTAAAAAATCAGAATTTTATACAATAATTCAATGACGTTAAATGTTATGCAACTGGTATGTGACTTGTGTAATCCTCGTACACCTATTATGCATGAAACATTATAACAGGTAGCTGTTAGTGACGGCCAGTATGAGCTTATTGTGTTAGTTGGTACAATGGTAACACTTATATCCTCCAGCACCATGATTTTATAATAGTAACTAGTTAACATAGTCATTTTAGGCACAAGCAACTTATTATTTTTAATTCAAACGTGCCGAATATGAAGAACTCACCACTGGTATTTCTTAACATTCAGAAGGACCGTGTAAATAGGACAATGATTCCTCTACAATCAAAGGACAAGCTGATAATAAGATCAGTGTTAAAAATCTGTTACGTTTATCCTTCTGCCAATGTTTTACGAATCAGGGAATGTCTTGTAGAAAGAGGACAGACAATAAATAACGACAGATACGGTAAAGTCAAAGTTGCCTCTGTGCTTAACTAGTTAAGCACTACTCCGTGGAGACACATAAGGGAGCGGATATGTAGATCCACATTTTCTTGACCTCGGCATTAGCCGAGTGGTTAGGGTCATGATCCTGCCGTTTTATCCCCGCGGTAAAAGCCTCCGGTACCCATTGGGTTGGAAGCTGGGTGGGCCCCAGTTCAGGTCTGGACGTCGTGGATAGGAGAAAGTTCTTGCCTCCACCGGCATTCGAAATCCGACCCCCTGGTCAAATAACGACAGTTACATATGTGTATATATGCATATATATGTAAATATAGAGGTATATACGTATTATATGCATACGTATACGTAATTGTATTTGCCAAGTGAAACATGCTTACTCAATTTGCGGAATGATAATTTTACATAACAACGAAGTCAGAATAAAATACTCTTAGAAAAACTGAGCTGTCGAACTCGCAGTAAAGAGACTCATAACATAAGTTTCGCTTCCCCTAAACGTGAACGTTGACTCCGGAAGTGCAGAGGTGAAATACGTCAATGATCCTCGTACTGAACCACGTAGTTGAGACGAGCACTGTTCGTGAATGACTTTTTACAAATTCACTGAGTCAATTGCAGCATTAATTTGCCGGAAATATCTGAACGAGATGTTAGCGTTTCCGAAAGTACAATGTAATGATATGTCTGTATATTAACATATAATGATATGATATTTATTTTCAAAGGTTCACATCGATACTATATACATAATTTGCAAGGGAAACTTAAAATCTGTATACCAAAAGTACCAGTGACGATTGTAACTTTATCCATAATCAGCAGAAACAGAAACAAAAAATGCCCACAAGTTTCTCCCTCAATAATCGAAATATTTGTTTATTTGTAGTTTATTTAACAATGTTGTCAGTAGCTAGGATAATATAGCGTGGAATTATAAGATGACAGTGAAAAATGAATTTGAAAGGATATGGAAGGAAACGGTTGTGGTTTAATGCGAGGCAGTATCCCTTTATTTGCCTGATGGGACTGAGGAAAACCAAGATGAGTCTCACATTAGAATATCCGATCTCCAGAGCCAACCGATTAAGAAGTTATTCAGTTGACAAATACGTTCTGTTATTAATCGAGACTGAACTTGTGTTACTAGATGTAAAATCTCACTGAAATATAACTCTTCCATTTCATGCATGACCATCTAGGTTGTCGCGAAACTTACGTATTTAGACCACAGATTAGAATTCTGCCACGGGTAGGGAAATCGATTATCTTCTTTATGATATATTGTGTTTTCCTACACGCAAATTGTTCTTGAGTGTATTTAATGGAATCCATTTACTACGAATTCCTCCCTCCTGGGAAAAATTTCGTCGATTAGACTAATCCAGGGGTTGAATTGGGTTTTAGCACTGAACAAGAAGAAGAATCTAATTCCATTATTTCTTTACTAGTGATATATGAAATATAATTGCCTGTTTTGTTTTTTAATCTTCAGATGCAAGTGTAAGTAAGAAATTGTTGTGAATAATTATTATTTGCCGATTCCGCAATCAGATTTATCGCTCAAATTTTCAGCTGTTAGTTTCAGGAGTACAGTATATTTTAACAATTTTGCTTTCAATTCTCCTTTTTGTAAAATCTGATCAAGGCCACAAGAAACAAAGCGTGTAACTGGACTACTGAATCATGAACATTAAAACACGGACAGAGTGTTCTTCCCACAGCGTACAATTATACAAGCAGGTTTAATTTCTTGAGATTACTGTACACAACTTTCATGTGGGTTGTCTTTGTAGATTCCGTTGCTTCAGTAGTCATCAGTAAACAGTGCTAACTTCAAGTCAAATATTGGGGCTAGAGGGAGGTAAATGCGCCAGCGTCGACCGCACTGTGAGGGGTGTCATTCGCTCACTACGTGCGGAGTTAGCTTTCATAATTGGACCACATTTTAATGTATTTTGTTTTCTATAGTACCAATCAATATTATTCAGTGCAAACAGATTGGAAATGCTGCATGGAAAATTCTCCACAGTCGACGGAAGCAAGTAATATTTCTCTCGCTTCTCATTTGTCTAGTTCTAACTCAATAGGAATCAATTCATGCGTACTTACTTATAACTTGGCCCTACGGTTCTTTCACGACAGATGCCTATTATTCCCTATTATTTGCCCTTTCCTTCCATTTCTTCACTTTCAGCTGTCCTAAATCAATCTCTGCTTCTTACAGTTATCTCACATGGGGCCTTTGTGCTTCACTGATGCCCTTATAATGAATGACCCTAAAATATTTCCAGTAGCGGGACATAACCCACTGCCTTCATAATCTTTCCTTGTTCTTTTTCCTATATTCTCAATCCGGCATCTGTCTACAGGATTCACAACACACGTTGTTTTACGAGGCGAGGTGTATTTGACTCGCGACTGACACCCAGACTAGAAGACCAGGTATTCCTTTCGTCCGTCCCCTACTCTTTACCTTGTTTAGTATGGGTAGCACCATTACTCCAGCGTATACAGAATTACCATCTATTGAAATCGGTTTTTGTACAGATTGTCAGTCGTTAATGCAGCGACGCCGTGCCAACTGCAGAAGTAATATTATATCGAATAATAACCAGAAGGATAACTATGATAATCTAAAGTAACTACCCACCTAGCTCCATGGGACTGAGCCCTCCTTGAGAAACCACCAATCTCTCAGTTACTTAAGTACTTCCAAACATTTTGTTGAAACCGAAGGTTCGTTACTGTGTTTATGAAAACCCGCCACTGGTTTCTATCCTGAACCATATGTATCCAGTCCACACCAACACATTCTCTTTCTTTAAGCTCTCTTTTAATATTATCCTCACACCTACGTATTTGCTTTCCTAGTGATTTCCTTCCTTCCGATTTTCCCATCAAAATCGCGTATGCATTCCTATTCTTTCCCATGCGTGCTACATGCCCTGCCCATCACGTACTCCTTGACTTTATCATTCTAATTATATCTGGTGAAGAGTAAATTTATGAAGCTCTTCATTACGCGTTTTTATCGAGCTTACTATTATTTTATTTCCCTTCAGTGACTGGCCAATTATCAGAATAATTCTAGAGCAAAATCACAAGTACTTCACGACATTCTGTATCAGACCTTACCCTCACAATCATATTTTGACGGCCATAAAATGTCCCTTCGCCTGAAACGAGTCTTCTCCTCTCGCTCGTGCAGACGTGTTGCGAGTCATTTCAGTAGAACAGACGGAGACGAAAGCTGAATTTGCTTGACCACGTCAATCACTGGAATAAAATGCCCATAGAAACAAGCCAGCGGATATGCCTTGAACTACGTATTTCGTACTCAATTGTGATACACTTCAAAGATTATAGATACCACAGAGACGTCCAAGGAAGGCAAGAGAGACAAAGGCAAGAGAAAGTGAAGGGATAGAAGGAAATAATATTTTATCTGAAGATAAATTTTAAAACGATCTATATTACTTTTGCTGAGTCATCAACTGCAAATGCTGTTAAAATACGCGGATATAATGCGA